ACAGGACCCTGGCAGGCTGCAGGTCAGCTTTGTGGGGCGGCCAGACTCCAGAGGCTCCAGAAGGTGGATGTCGGTTTCTCTGTCAGGTCTGAGGAGGAGACAGAGAGATGCCTGGGCCCCAGGGGGGTGGGGACCCAGGGTGTGACCCTGAGAGGGACCAGAGCCTCAGGGTCTGAACTGACCCTGGTCCTGTATCCCTCTGACCAGCCCAGCCCAATGCCTGGAGCAGGAATGTTCCAATGTTCTGTCTAAGATGAGGGTCTCCACATCCCAGGCTCCTCGAAGAAGCAAAGTCCTTGAGACTCGCTGAGTCATCGGGTGGAGCTGGTGAGAAAGACAGTTGCAGAATCTTGAGGGTTTTAGGTGAGAGAATTACAGAGAGAGAGTCCTGGAAAGCACTGTGGGAGGCCGGCAGTCTCCATCCCTCCCTCCTTCCACGATCTGGTGGGCATCTCCCTCTCCTTTCCTGGCCCGTTGACTTGGGTCTGGGCATTTACACCCTAGGAGGTTGGCCCAGAGTGTCTGGGCCTCACACCTTCAGAGGAGGCTCCACATCCCACTGGGACACCCTTGGACTGTTTGGTGGAGGGAGAACAGAGAGTCCCACGGCTTCGGGAAATAGATTCCACGAATGCAGCAGGAATAGGACTAAGGAGGCTGGGGTGGAGCCGTAGGAGGAGAAGCACAGAGCAGTGCCATGGTGGGGCGAAATGGGCTTTGAACAAAGTGTATATGTGTGTGTGTGCACATGCGTGTGCATGTGTGCAGACGTGGGCACACGGGAAGTGGGGGGAGAAGGTGGCCATTTTTATCCTTGCTTTGCCCATATCAGATCCCATTCAAGCTCTAATACCCCCTCTCTGCTCAGAGTTGGACCCAGGGGCAGGTCACAACCCCAGAGAGGAGAGGTTCTTTCCTACCTGTGACATTTCTGGAGAAGATGCTTATGGTGAGGTTCTGTGGAGCATCTGGGATAGAAAGACATAGCCCCGTTTCAGAGGTGAGGAGGGGGATGGAAGTTGAGCCTGCACCCAAGGAGGGTGGTGGAAACTGGAGAAGATGGAGGTTGCTGTTCTTCCTGCACGCTCCCCACCTGGACTCCCAGGGCTCAGATCCATGCTTGCAAGTTCGAAGCTTAGCTCACCCTCACTCTCTCCCTCTACTCTACACACACAGCCTCATCCGCCCCCAGGGACCAACCATCCCTCCAGCACTCACAGGAGATGTTGAGCTGGATGGTTCTCTCCATGGCCGCCTGTGCTCCTTGGTGTTTCACCCAACAAGTGAAGTTGGTGCCACGGTCTTGGAGCCTCGGTGTGAAGGTGAGCACTGAGGAACGGAGGGTCTTGGGGTCCAGCGAGTGAAGAGCCGTCCCCTCCCAGGAGAACATGAGAGGTCGTCCCCCTTCGCAGGACCCTGGCAGGCTGCAGGTCAGCTTTGTGGGGCGGCCAGACTCCAGAGGCTCCAGAAGGTGGATGTCAGGTTTCTGTGTCAAGTCTGAGGAGGAGACAGAGAGATGCCTGGGCCCCAGGGGGGTGGGGACCCAGGGTGTGACCCTGAGAGGGACCAGAGCCTCTGGGTCCAAACTGACCCTGGTCCTGTATCCCTCTGACCAGCCCAGCCCAATGCCTGGAGCAAGGAATGTTCCAATGTTCTGTCTAAGATGAGGGTCTCCACATCCCAGGCTCCTCTCCTGGGGCCCCTGCTGTACCTGTCACCAGCAAATGCAGCTTCTTATCTCTGTAACTATAGTTCACATAATGTCCTCTCTCCACTCGGAAGAAGTAGATGCCTGTATCGCTCCTCCTGGCGTCTCTGATGCTCAGGGAGCAGTTGTTGGTCCTGGGGTCCCCGAGGAGGCGGAATCGGCTCTGGGTCTCTGTATCCACTTGTTGCTCTGGGTTGTTTGTGGCCACAGGCATAGGGTAGCGCTGGTAACCCCCATCCCGGAACCAGTAGATGTAGAGTTCACCAGGGGGATTCCTCCGATCCCAGGGGTAGGAGAAGGAGCAGAGCACGAGGACACACAAACCCTCCTGCACAGTCACTGATTCTGGCAGTTGGAGCTGGTACCCTGGATACTCCTGCAGGGACCCTGGGGGCGGGGGTGGGGGGACACAGACACTCAGCTGTGGCTCCAGCCCCTCCCCCTCCCATGTCCATCCCTCCCCCTGGGCAACTCACCCCCCCACAGCAGGGGCAGCAGCAGCAGGGGCACCATGTCTGCCCAGGCCAGAGCACAGCCCAGCTCTACTCCCTCTGTCAGGGAAGGAAATGCCCCAAATATGGGGTGGGGCCGAGGAAGCCCCAATAGGAAGGCAGTGGGTGACAGAGAGCTGTGTTCACAAAGGAAAGGGAACTGGGACACCACAGGCCATGGGGGGAGGTGGGGGCTGAGAAGCCATCCTGTCCCACCCTCTCTCCCATTTTCAGATGGGACTGGGAGCTACCGAGATGGTAAGAGGCTTCTCTAGACTCATAAGCTCCCATAACTCAGTCCTTTCTTCGTGCACCATTGTCTACACAGGGTAAAGAACAGCACCCGACCAGCCCCCTGGGGATTGGAGCCTCTGGGTCTTCTGGAAGATCGAAGAGCAAATTCACTGTCATATGATGGGAGCCCTGAGGACAGGAGCCCAGGCGACGGAGGTGTACCCCTCTGTCAGGAGAGAAGGTAAGTTCTCAGGGACAAATGCATCAGGTGGACATGACTTGGTCTACAGGAGTCATAAGAGATGTTGTCCCCACCAGTGACCCTGGGGCCTCCTGACCCCTTGAACTTGACTCCCCATTCCCATCACTGTCCTCATCCCAGGCGGCCTCAGACTCTGGCCCTGGTGTTGACGCCCAGAGCAGCCCTGAGGGCCGGCATTGGGAATGCAGAAGTTGAGTGCAAAGGAGTACTCGGGCTGGAACCCAGACCCCTCACCCACCACCTGTTCAACTTTACCAAAGTTACTCAGCCTCTCTGTGCCTCAGTTTGCTCATCTAAAAAATAGGGACACTGTTAGAAATACTGTGTGAGGATCAAATGAGTTCATATATGTCAAATGCTTAGGACAGTGCATGGCACTGAGTATTTGCTCATTCCACTAACGTTTCATGGACACCTACTGTGTGCCAGGCCCTGTTTCAGAAAGGTGAGTCAAAAACTAGTCAGAGGAAAAGCATTTAATTAGGAGACTAAAATACATTGTCTCTTAGAGAATGATATATTTTAAGGAAAAAACTGAAAACAAGAAAGCAGAAGAGAGATCGTTGAGGGCTGCTCAAATTTCTAAAAACATGGCTGGGGCAGGCCTCATGGAGAAAGTAACATTCAAGTAAAGACATAAAAGAAGTGAGAGAATGAGTTCTGCGGGTATCTTGGCAAAGGTGGTCCATTCTGAAGGAAAGGGGTGTTCAAAATTCCCAAGGTGCAGTTTGAGTCTGAAGGCAGGAAAAAAACAATGTCCCAGCTGGAAGGCAGTCAGGCAGGAGGAGTTCCCCTTACTCATGGGAGGGTCATTCTTTCTGTTCTATTCAGGCCTTCAACTGGTTGGATGAGGCCCCCCTACATTCAGGAGTGCAATCTGTTTTACTCAATCTACTGATTTAAACATCAATCTCATCCAAAATTGCCCTCACAGAAATAGCAAGAATAATGTTTGGCTAAATGTCTGGGAATCCCATGGCCCCATCAAGTTGACAGAAATGAACCATTACACTGAGTGAGTTGTTGTAAGTGCAACAGCAATTCTGATGTGTGTGTTTTTTCCACATCACCAAGGAATTAACTCCAACCTGACTCTATTTACCTAGAGATAGCTTCAGATGCCACAGGTTCAGGGCTCCAATCCCACAAGACCGCCCTCCACCTCAGACGCCAATTGCAAGTCCAGATCGTCCCCTGCTCTTTTGACCGACTGGCTATAGATTGGAGGTTCCCATGACCCCCTCCTCAGATTTGATCGATTTTCCAGAGTGGCTCACAGAACTCAGGAAGCCAGTTTACTTACTAGATTACCAGTAAACTAGATTACTGGATTATTACAAAGGATATTAAAGGATACGAATCAACAGCCAGATGAAGAGATTGTGAAATGTGAAACAAATATGGGGTCACTTATGTCTAAGGGCTTTAAAATGGAGCCAGGAAGCTGTTAAGGAAATAGGTCTTATTCACGCTCTCAACAGGCAGAACGTGAACTTTTTTTTTTTTTTTTTGGTGTGGAAGATGGGCCCTGAGCTAGCACCTATTGCCAATTCTCCTCTTTTTTTGCTTGAGGAAGGTTGGCCCTGAGCTAACATCTGTGCCAGTCTTCCTCTACTTTGTATGTGGGATGCTGCCACAGCATGGCTTGACGAGCAATGTGTAGGTCTGTGTGCCAGATCTAAACCTGTGAACCCTGGGCCACCAAAGCAGAGTGTGCAAACTTAACCACTATGCCACTGGGCCAGCCCACAGAATGAGAACTTTTGAACTGAGTCAAGACACAAATATTCCCAGAACGCTGAGAGAAACCTGCAGCTTGTCACTGTGACTTTTACCTCCCTTTAGCCAAAGTCTTAGCAATCAATTACATTTAGCCAAGATTGGCTTTCTGCGCCAACCCCAATCAACATTCTTTGTGATGCAAACCTCCCTCTTTTGCCTTGAAAAGCCCCTGCCTCTTACTCCCCAGCGAGACACTATTTGGGTTACTACCCGAATCCGTGTGCCCCGAATTGCAATTCTTTGATCCCACATAAACGCCTCTCTGCCTCTCACTTCGGCTCTTTATTTTTAGGCTAACAAGATGCATAGGGGAAAGTATGGGGAAAGGGCACGGAGCTTCCATGCCCTCTCTAAGCTCACCACTCTTCCCGCATCGCCATGTGTTCACCAACCTGGAAGCTCTCCAAACTCCATCCCTTTGGGTTTTATGGAGGCCTCATTACACAGTCATGACTGATTAAATCATTGACCATTGGTGACTGATTCAACCTTCAACCCCTCTCCCCTCCCCAGAGGTCAGAGGGTGAGACTGAAAGTTCCAACCCTCTAATCACGTGATTGGCTCCCCTGGCAGCCAGCCCCCATCCTGAGGGTCTTTCCAAAAGTCACCTCGTTAACATAACAAAAGATAACTTTGTCACTTAGAAAATTCCAAGGTTTTTAGGAGCTCTGTGCCAGAAACAGGGACAAAGACCAAATATATATATTTCTTATTAGAAATCACAGTGTCACAGGGGTGAAGGCAGTTCAGGGCTCAAGCAGAGAAGGGATAAGATCCAATTTGCTGTCACCTGATCACTCTGCTTGCTGTACTGAGCCTAGACCCCTCCCGGCTGTGACAATGCCCCAGGAGTGAGATGGAGGCACCCGGGTCTGGGTGGGTGCGGTGGAGTTGGTGAGAAGCCGATGGGTTAGCAGTGTTTGTTGACAGACAGCTCAGATGCACATTGGGGGAGAAAGACAAAGGGCAAGAACTACGCCAGAGCAGTTGCAGGCGTGAAGCTGCCATTGTTGGAAAAGGGAAAGACTTTCAGAGTTTTTTTTTTTTTTGAGGAAGATTAGCCCTGAGTTAACATCTGCTGCCAATCCTCCTCTTTTTGCTGAGGAAGACTGGCCCTGAGCTCACATCCGTGCCCATCTTCCTCTACTTTATATAGGGATGCCTACCACAGCATGGCTTGACAAGCGATGCCATGTCCGCACCCGGGATCCGAACTGGGGAACCCAGGGCCGCCGAATCGGGACGTGTGCACTTAATCACTGCACCACAGGGCCGGCCCCCAGAGATTTTTAAAGAAGAGATTTGGGAGCTCAATTTGGGACATGTTGGGTTAGAGATGCGTATCAGACACACAAGTGGAGAATCAGCAGAGGGTGTTTGATCGGCGCGAGTCTGGGGTTTAGGAGAAAGTTCTCACTGGATGCACTAACTTGGAGTCATCACTGTACAGAGAGTATTTAAAGTCATGAGCCTGAGTGAGGTCACAAAGGGTGGGAGTTTAAATGGAAAAGAGATGAGGACCATCTCAGGGGGGTTCTGTGGGCTGAGTATCAGACCCAGCTTCCCGCTGAAAATATCTACAAATACAAGAGGGAAACAAGTCATTGTAAATCTTCTTAAAACCATTGAAGGGCTGACAAGAGAGAAGAATTTTCAGTGCAAAATCTAAGATAGGGTGAGAGCTGTCCCAGTGGCATAGTGGTTAAGTTTGAGTGCTCTGTTTCAGCAGCCCAGGGTTCACAGGTTCAGATCCCAGGCACAGACCTGGCACTACCCATCAAGCCATCCTGTGGCAGCATCCCATAAACAAAATAGAAGAAGATTGGCACAGATGTTAGCTCAGAGCCAATCTTCCTCACCAAAAGAAAAAAAAAAAAAGTAGGACATAGTGGAAATTCAGAGAGGGAATCAGAGCACCAAAGCCACACGAGCCCTGGGGGAATTTTGAACGTGGCAGACTTGAATTTGGGGCTTCCTGGGCCTAAGGATAAAGTCAGACTAGATGTAGAGGAAGGCTGGGGACTTCTGGTCACATGTGTCTTCCTGCGTGCTCCCAGGCTTCATCCAGGGGGACAGAGACTGGAGCAGGGTCAGCCCCACCATCCATCCCCGCCCCACAACCCTCTGGGGTTCCCGGTCATTAGTAGAGAGGGCAGAAGCATCTCTGGGCTGGAGGGTCAAGATTCTGTGCTGGGATTTCTTCAGTCTCTGACCCAAAACTCTGATTCATCTATTAGGAGTGTGAACACAGAAAAGGTTGGCGAGTGGGAAGGAAGTTGCATCCAGAAGCCACAAAGTGTGGACATAAGGACCCTGGTTCAACAGAAAAGGAAGTCTCCCCATTACATCTCTGAAGCAGGAAGGACACACGGTGGGGAGGAGGCTGGACCGGGCAACCTCAGAGCCAAATATGTGGCAAGAGCTTGCCCGAGAACAAAGCCAACAGAGGACAGCAGAGCTACGGGGCTAACAAATAAAGAAAAAGGGCTTTGGTGACGTTGACCGAGCTCCGGAACCCTCTGTGCCTGAGGCCAGTGTCCTTCAGAACTTTTCAAGCTGAATGAGTCAACACTGCTTTTGTTTTGTTTTGTTTTCTCCATTGGGCCAGTTTGAGCTGGAAAGATATTGTGTGTGTCTAACACAACCTCTCCCCTAACGGCCATGACCACACACCCTTCCCTACTCTGCCTCAGCCCGTGAAGCTGCCAAAAACCACCCCCGTGAAATTTGATTTCAGTTTCACTGTTCACAACCCATCCGTGGATTTCTGGGAAGGATGCTGACATACGTTCATGCTGTTTAACAAGTCCCTCTCCGTCGCCCATCAACATAAAATGAACGTGACCAAAACCAGTTTCAGAAATCAAGGCCAATGCCCCAGCTTAGGCTGCCATAACAAAATTCTACAGACTGGAATCTGAAACAAAAGGAATTTGTTCCTCGTGGTTCTGGAGGCTGGGAAGTCCAAGATCCAAGCCCTGGCTGATTTAGTTCCCTGGGAGGGCTCTTTTCCTGACTCGCAGACGGCCGCCTTCTTTGCTGTGTTGTTACATGGGAGAAAGAGAGAGACAGAGAACTCTGGTCTTTCTTCTTCTTATAAGGACACTAGTTTCATCATGGCGGCTCCACCTTCATGATCTCATCTATACCTAATTACCTCCCAAAGGCCCACCCCCCAACACCATCACATTGGGGGCGGGGCTTCAACACACAAAATTTAGGGGGATGCAAACATTCGGTCCATAGCAACCAACCACATGAGAACAAACGGAGGCTATTCACTCAGGGCTTGCTATAGTAAGCAAGTTGGCCACCATCACTCGTGTTTTGGCAGCAGAGGGTTGGGAAAGCTTCATAGAGAAGAAGAGAGAAGGCTTCAGGGGTACTCTGATCAGAGGCTGTTGACCTAGGGAAGCTGGAGTTGGGCTAAGTAGAAGCGGGGTGTCTAGTGTGACTGGTTAGGGTACACATTTGGCTTTTTCTGGTTGGTACTAGAAGCAGGAACAAAAATTAGGGAGGCCAAGTTATTCATAGAGTCCTGGACATTTTGGATGGATACAGGGGTTATGGTTTGATTTCCTCAATATGTTGCCAGAGACGTGGTCTGACTTCCTACAAGTCTGACTTGTCGATAGCAGGCTGGCTTCTTGGGTCGGTTACTGTAAGTGATGGGTCAACTTCCCGGGCTGGTTATGACACACTGTCGATCAGAGTTCTATTTTTACGTAGGGTCTGAGATCATCCGTTTGTGTATTCAGCCTCTCAACAGTGTTGTGGAAAAATCTCCATATTCAAGAAGGCCTATGAAATTCATTTCAGGGAGAGGACCTATACACTTATTTTTCAAAGCAAATCAGTGACTTTTCGAGTGTCTAAACAGAAAGCCCAGGACTAGTCAGGAGGTTGAGCTGAAGAATTGGCTAAAATTTCTCCACCTAATAAAATCACGGGAATCCTAAGATTGTGGCTAAGAGAGAAGAGACTGTGGGCGGCATTGATCTTCGTGGCGATGGAGGTGATGGGGACGGGAGCTGGTCTTCTTCTGCCGTGAGAGATGAGGCCCCAGCAGCATGGCGACAGGAGATACACAGCTGGTATGAGGCTCCATGGTGTGGAGATGGATGCTGGGGATTAATATCCCATTTAGATTGCTTTCTTGTTTGTGTGGCCATTCTGTGCTACCGTCCCTAAACTTTTACTGTGTTACACATAATACCATTGGATTAATAGTGCTGGAGAATGCAAGAAAGACGTTTTTGCTCCCATGTTGGAAGGAAGGACATCACCATGCATTTGACAAAGGGGAGAATTGTATCATGCACAGCAATCCTCACAGTGTGCAGAATTGGCAGTTTTGCATTGAATGTGCTTTGGTGGCAGGGGGGTTCCAGTTATATTTTTCCAGATATTAAAAATCCTGGAGGGCTGCAGGATTTGGGGGACCTCTGGTTTGTACCACATGTGATATTAAAATCCCTGGGGATATCAATCTGCTGTAGAACAATTTGCACTTAATCAAAGGTGGACATAAGGAGCTGAGAACAAAGGCAGAACCCCTGTCTGAGAATAAGGTACAACATTGGGGGTGGGGGGACATAGGGAGGAAATTCTGCAGGGCTCCACCTAGAATGAGTGTCAACCACAGGAAGGACGGCGTCCACACTTGAGCATCAGTTCCTCCAGAGCTGAAGGGAAAACCAGGCACCTGTGAAGAGTGTCTCTCCCTTGATCCGGCTTCCAATGAGCAGGCTAGATCTAGGCCATATTTGTATTTTGTTTGGCTGGAATGGTTTGGAAACATTTTCACTAATAAACTTAAAACATTCAAATATTGGGAGATACCTCACAATAACCCAGATTTTCTCCCAAAATTGGAAGATCTGGCATGCTAACATAGTAGCAGTCAGCTGAGGCTGAACAAGAACTGACTGCTTTAACTTTGCTGCACTCCCCACCATGCCCTATCGTCTCCCTCCACTAAAGCCAAATCTAGGTACCATTTGTCAGAACACTTGCCCAGTTGGTTGTTTTCCTTACATATTCATTTACCATAACTGCCTTGTCCATGTGGAGATTTGATTTGGGGTGCCCTGAACCTACCGAACAAAAATCCCACAAGCTGTATGGTGTCTCTCTCTAATTGGACTTGGCAGAGGTCAAGTTCACCCTGAAAAAGGGAAGACAGCTCAAGGGCGCCCCCTATTGGACCAGGTGAACTTAGCATTTTTGACATATTTTAGACACAAGCTTAGGGAGACCATGTTACCAAAGTGCAAGTTTGAACCTCCAACAAAAAGTGTACAAAAAAAAAAAAAAGAAGAAAAATGACACAGCAAAAAAGACTTCTGGTTTCAACTCCAACGTGTAAAGGGCTTAGAAGGTGTCACTCTCATTCTTAGAACAAGAAAAGGCTGAACAAATTGGGAATCAGTGACTTTTCTTGGATCCATCAGAGAACTGAGATCACCAAGCAAGCCACCACCCCAAAATCTAGAGGGACTGGCAAATCCAGAAAGTTACAATTGAGATCTGTTTACCTAGAGCAGAAGCTACTGGAGTCATAAACTGACAAGGACACTGACACAGTGGTTTGGACAATTTGGGGAGGCTGAGTGTGGGTTACCATGACAGTGAGAAACTCCTGTGGCTCTTGGTTTTAGGGGTCCCCACACTTTCACGGATTTTGCTTTCCAGGAACCCCACCAGGTTTGCATAGTGAAGAGCCCCTCATGGCTCCACCAGGCAGAGCAAAGAGTAATCATTGCTAAATTATGCCGAGAATGTTCTCCATCACATAAGCCTACCCTCCAGGGAAAACTCTTTAGCAGGGATTTTCCCATTTCTCTAAATCCTGCACACTCTAGCCTTCCTGTGTCACGTATGGTGGGTGGAGGGAAGCAGAGATTCACTTGTGAGGACCACAGCCCAGGGACATGGGCTCACTGTTGTGTGGGACTCAGCCTATAGAAGATGATGCTATCGGCTTGGGACACCTCAGGCACCCACCCAGCCCATATTACTTGTAGCCAGCCCCCACAGGCATTTCCCCGACCAGAGCTGATGTTGTGGCTGGACCAGCCCCTGTGGTTCTTATTTTGACTGCAGGACGCACTTCAGAAAAAAACATCAAGAAACTTGGAGGAACAAGATTTACTGTTCACAGGCGCTGGAAGGTACACTGCGCACCTGAGGGCCACACGGTAGAGAGAAACAGAGGGAGTATGGACCTCAAGCTCTGCCTTCATTGGGGTCTGAGGGTGGGATGTCCAGGGTTTCACTAGTTCACTCTTTATTGGATAATTTAAAATGTAAGAGAGAGAATCAAGGCATGGGGAGTGAGGTCACTCAAATGGTGAGTTATCTAAGTTACAGGGGACTTTCTGAGAGAGGGACCTTCATGGATGGGGTGTCCTAGTTTTTTATCTGGTTGTTTTGCCAGTAGCCCTGTCATCCAACTGGCAATATGTTTATTCAAGATAAACGTCTTTTTAAACGGATGCCTCAGCAACCAAAATCTTAACATCAAATGTTTATACTACACACACTAAAAAGCTGAGATTTAATCATAAGATGTGGTGGGATGAATAATGATCCCCTAAGAGATACAGGTCCTAATGCCCAGAACCTGTGAATGTGACCTTAGGTGGCAAAAGAGATTTTGCAGATGTGATTAAGGATCTTGAGATGGGAAGATGATCCTGAATTACCTGAGAGGGCTCTAAAGGTCATCACAAGGGTCCTTAAAAGACAGAGGCAGAGGGAGGTTTGACTACAGGAGAGGAAAAGGCGATGCGACGATGGAAGCAGAGACTGGGCTATGTGCTTTGAAGATGGAGGAAGGGGCCACAAGCCAAGGAATACAGGAGGCCACTGGAAGCTGGAAAAGACACAGAAGCAGATGCTCCTCTCAGAGCCTTCAGAAGGAACCAGCCCTGCTGACATCTTTGCTTTAGTCCCGTGGAACTGAGTTTGGATTTCCGGCCTCCAGAAATGAATACGTTTGTGATGTTTCAAGCCACTGAGTTTGTAGTAATTTGTTAGAGCAGCCAAGGAAACTAATACATAAGACTATAGAATGCTTTTCTCAGCCACACCTGCAAGGTTCTGGGATAAGAACAGGGGGTTACTGCTGAACGAGGACACAAGGGGAATTTGAAGTGCAGCACCTACAGCTACAGAAAACGTTAAACGCAGCCCAACTCCTAGTCACATTAACGTAAACCCTAACACTAAAGGCCAGTTTACCTCAGCTCCTATCCCTCCATACATCACGTCTGGCTTTCAATAAAAAAAATGTCAAGGCACGTTAAAAGGCAAAACAAAACAAAACAAACAGCAAATGACAAGGAGGACACACGGGAACTTTCCACACTTTCTGCTCAATTTTGCTGTGAATCTAAAAAATTAAGTCTGTGAAAACAACCCTAAAGTCTGAAGAAACTAAGCATCAGAATCAGATTCAGACATGACACAGAGGTTGGAACTGTCACACAGGGAATTTAAAATGGCCGTGATGACTATGTCAAGGTTCTAAAGGAAAAGGTAGACAACATGCAAGAACAGATGGCAAGGCAGCAGAGAGATGAAAGCTCTGAGATAGAATCAAAAGGAAATGTTAGAAACAAGAACACTGTAACAGGGACCAGCCCCGTGGCCTAGTGGTTAAGTTTGCAGGCTCCACTTTGGTGGCCCAGGGTTTCACTGGTTCGGATTCTGGATGGGGACCTAGCATCACTCATCAAGCCGTGCTGAGGTGACATCCCATATGGCAGAGCCACAAGGACCTACAGCTGGAATATACAACTATGTACTGGGGGGGCTTTGGGGAGAAGAAGAGGAAAAACAAAGATTGGCAACAGATGTTTGCTCAGGGCCACTATAAAAAAACCACACATACTATAACAGAAATGAAGAACACCTGGTCTGTCTGGCTGACGGCAAACCCTGCCTCCCCTCTGTAACACTGAGATGGGGCTGGGAGGAAAAAGCCCTCAGCACCTAGGGTCCCGGCTCAGGGAAATATTGATCTCTTTAAAATATCGAATATTCTAATTCACTAACATGATATAGCTCTTCTTTAGAGCTTCTTTAATTTGTCTCAGCAACATTGTCCAGTTTTCAGTGTAGAGGTCTTGAAAGTATTTTGTTAGATTTACTTTGAGGAATATCGTGATTTTTGGTGCTTTTTAAAAAGATATTTTTTAATTTAATTTTCTGATGTTGCTAAAATAAATAAAGAAATTATTTCTGCATGTTAATTTTCTTTTTTTTTTTCTTTTTTCTTTTTGGTGGTGAGGAAGATTGTCCCTGAGCTGACATCTGTGCCAATCTTCCTCTATTTTGTATGTGGAACGCTGGCACAGCATGGCTTGATGAGTAGTGTGTAGGTCCACACCCGGAATGTGAACCCAAAAACCCTGGGCCCCTGAAACAGAGCGTGTGAACTTAACCCTACACCATTGGGCCAGCCCCTGTATGTGGATTGTGCATACAGCTACTCTGCTAAATTACATATTAATTCTGGTAGTTTGTTTGTATATTTTCAATTTTCTATGTACACTGTCTTGTAACTGAAAACAGTGATATTTCACCTTTCCCTTTCTAATCAATCTGCCTTTTATTCCTTTTCCCACTTCATTGCACCCTCTAGTGACTTCATCACAATGTTGAATGGAGTGGTCAGAATAGACATCCTTGTCTTTCTCTTGACTTTAGGGGAAAACTGTTCAGTATTTCACTGTTCAGTATAACTGGAAGCCCATGCTACATAAATACAGTGAATCCAGCGCCGCTCCCCCCCCCCCCCCCAAAAAAAAAAAAAAATTCTGGATCATATTAGTTTACACACAGATTTTTGAAACTTTTTAAATTCATTGGTCACAGATTAACATTTGGAGATATCTCGCACTAATATGAATGCCTAACTTCTCTTGAAAATTTTGACTATCTGGCATTCCCGTATGACAGAATTCAGCTGCCCGGCTTTATCCTGCCGCATTCTCCCATCAGGTGCTGTGACCTCCTGAACTGAGGCCAGAGCTCAGGTACCATTTGCCCCATTGTTTTTCTTACCCCAAGTCTGCTACACTTATTTCCTATACCTGCCTTTCTATAGATTTGTATCTCCCAGGAAAACGGATACTGTGACCCATCACACAAAACTTCCTCTAGCCGGCGGTTTTCCTCTCTAACTGAATTCCTCAACCGTGCATCTTGTTCAACCAGTCAGGAAAGCAATCGAAGTCCAAGTGCGCCCTCTGCTGGACAAGGTCCGATCAAGCGGCACGCTTGACTGGTGAATCACGGCGAGACCAAGATCCCCAACTTCTTCCAACACTTTTTTTAAAGATTTTATTTTTTTTCCTTTTTCTCCCCAAAGCCCCCCACCGGTACATAGTTGTATATTCTTCGTTGTGGGTCCTTCTAGTTGTGGCATGTGGGACGCTGCCTCAGCGTGGTTTGATGAGCAGTGCCATGTCCGTGCCCAGGATTCGAACC